AACACATGCACATACAGTACATGCCTGCGTGCAAGCAATGCATACATAGGTACCCATCTGCAAATCTGTATATGTATATATATATATATACAAATAATTAAATAAACAAATGTACTTACATCATACATTCGGGCCCTAGACCCTCTGTGGTAAGAGAGCACAGGAGTTCCAACAAGCCCCAAATTGTGACCTCTTTCGTCTCTTCATCCGGTTGGCCATCGGAGGCTTTGCGCGCGGCTTCCACGGCCTTGTCTGCCTGGCGTGACGTAGGCTTCTGGTTCGAGACATTGCATGGGACTTAGGGCTCTAAGCATTTGGGCTTCAGGCGACAAACCACGGAAATCTCATAAGCCTGGCCAGTAGAACTGGCCTTCAGACTAACAAGTCGAAGTTCAGGACATGCATGACAGTCTCATGAACAAGTGCCGATTGCTCCCATGCCAAATCCCGGCCGGTTTTGCCGCTGCACGCAACAGGTCTGTTGCGGTATCTTTGGTCTCCTGCGGCTTTGCCGATGCTGGGTCGGAGGCTTGTGCCGCCGCCTGTGGTGCAGGTTGCTGAGCCGTTTGCTGCGCTTGAGCAGCCTGTGCTTGGTACTGCCACTGCTGCGCCTGCATTTGCTGGAATTGCAGCTGCTGTGCCTGCTGCTGAGCTTGTAGATGCTGGGCATGTAGCATCTGCTGCTGCTGCTGCTGCTGCCTGAGTTCGACATCATGTGAACAAGAAAGCCCATGCAAGCAGGTGACTCTGGTATATGGTAGGCATGGTAGGGAGAAAATGCAGCACAGGCTGGGATCGTGACAGTAGGGGCACCCAAGAGCCCCTAGAGATTACATGTTCAAAGCGACTGTGGCAGTTTCTCTAGGCTCCGAGTTTGTTGGAGTCCTTGCCAGCCTGCCATTCGGGAAACTAGGTCTCATTCTAGGTCGACGGTCGACTGCACAGTAGGGACCAGTGACACCCGGCTGCCTGGCTCTGTCTATCGCAAATCTAGTGCTGCAGCGAACAAAGTCACGGCAAGCGAAATCGTGGCATTAATATCAAGCAAGAGACACATATAACATTGGCCATGATGCCTAAACCCTAAACCCTGATCCCTGAACCCTAAACTGGACAAGTAAGTCTTCTTGCCCAAGCCGACGACTCGAAGACCCCGCCACCTGCCTCTGGAACACTACAACCCTAAACCCTGAACCCTAAACCCTGCACCCTAAACCCTGAACCCTGAACCCTAAACCCTAAACCCTGAACCCTAAACCGTAACCGTGGAACACGACAACCCTACAGGACACTGAGCTTCCAGCTGAGCTGCGGCCTGGCTCTTGAGCTTCGTAGCAGACATCACAGGTTTGAATGTATCATACACTTTAGGGGTTTAGGGTTTAAGGTTTAGGGTTTATAGGGCTTAGGGTTTCGGGGTTTAGGTCTTAGGGTTGTAAGGTTTAGGGATTGAGGGCTTTCAGGGCTTATAGGGTTTGGGCTTTTTGGGATTAGGGGTTTTCCATGTGTGAGCCTTACATACTTGCACACATTCAAACATGCTCGGTAATATGTCTGTGTATGCACTGATATAGATACGCGCACGTTCGTAATATTCACATCTAGCGTTTTGAAAAGAAAAGCCAGACAAAGGACCGAAAGGAAAGAGGGCAAATGAGAGAAAGGGTTTCCTCCAATACTTCCGAAGCCCAACTGTTACCGCCAACATGCTTAAATTAACCTGGACACCTAGTCCGCAGCAAGATGCGTCCTCCTGATCCTAGTTGTCACAAGCTGCGCTACTCTTGTGGGAAAACACTACGGGCCAAAAAATCTAGAACTATGTTGGAATCAGGTAGAGTTTGGCTCTCCCAGCTTCCCAAACTCCCTGAGCATGTGACCCTAAACCCTAAACACTAAACCCTAAAACCCTAAGCCCCAAAACCCTAAACCCTCAACACTAAACCCTAAAACCCTTAAGCCCCAAAACCCTAAACCCACGAACCTCCGGACTTTCTGGGATCCAGCCTGCTGGTACTGCTGGTACTGCTGCTGCTGGAGCTCCATCTGCCTGATACGAATAGGTAGCAGGGATGATCAAGCTGATGGGAACAAGGACAACACGAATCACAATAATCCTCACCAGGTTATAAGATATAATGACTATAGTAAAACCCTAACTGAACCTTAAACCCTAAACCCTAAACCCTATACTATACTATAGTACTCTTGGCAGTACTCCGTTGTTAAAACAAGTTGGAGCGTGTAGCGATTGCAATAGTGTGTCGGACTGCAGCTGCAGCAGCACCCGCACAAGCAATTGCAAACAAGACCATGTTACGGCTGATGGACAAAATTCTGCATGACCCAAATATAGAATAGTACCATAAATCCCATAGTTTAGGTATATAAGGTCATGCAGGATTTTTGTCCATCAGCTGTATGATGCAACACTGCGGAAGAAGGACAAGACATGGTTGAAACACGCGCAAACTTGATCCTGGCCTATAACGCCCTCAGCCAGCCTGACAGGGCCATACCTATAGTCTCCATTGTAGTTCCTTTCTTTGGTTTAACCAAATATATATTAAGGATTTTATAAGGTATCCCCAAAAAGGAACTACAATTGAGACCAGCATCCAAGGCCCAGACATCCTCTGGCAGAGAGCCTTTTGGCAAGGAGATCAACCCAATCGCAGCAAGGGTGGCTGTAGGGTTGTTAAGCTTAAAGTTTGGGCTTTACCAATAGACTCCATTGTAGTTCCTTTTTGGGGATACCTTATAAACTCCTTAATATATATTTGGTTAAACCAAAAAAAGGAACTACAATGGAGACTATAGGTAGGGTTGAAGCTTCAGTTGAGAACTTCGGGTCATAGTGGCTAACGGATGTTTAGGCATCGAGTTTCGGGTTTCGAGTTCAGGGTCTAGCGCCCTGTTGAAAATAAGACGGACAGGCGCCGGATCATGCAGGGTTTAGGGTTTAGGGGTTTAGGATTCAGGAGCATCGGAGCTCAAGTAGTAAAGAAGGACCCTATGATGCCAATGGGCCCCATGAGCTTTTGGAGCTACCTGACAACTATATGCGGACGAGAAGGGGATACCATTACCAGTTACTCCGACCTCGGTATTCGATACCCCGGAGTACTATTTAAGGCTATATATTAGGGTCCCCTCTTTTCGGAAACCCCCCATATTCGTCGAAGGAGGGCTCGGGAACAGGTTACATGGAAGTCGCAAACGATGTTTTCTTAGGTCTGTTTGCGAGATGCAAGAACTGACACTTTTGTAAGGGTGCCGTACTATATTGGGGACCTAAAGAGACCCTAATTTAGAGAACTACCCACATCTTTCGCGGCTTCGCCAGGGAAGCCGACGTCGAAAACTACGGCCTAAGCCCATCTTCGCCCAAGTCTAAGTCGACAAGTCCCTCGACTCTATAAGCCGTGAGACCTCAAGTTTAGGGTTTAGGGGTTTAGGGTTTAGGGTTTAGGTGTTTAGGGTTTAGGGGTTTAGGGGTTTAGATTTTAGGGTTCAGGGTTTAGGGGTTTCGGGTTTCGGGGTTTGGGGTTTAGGGGTTTAGGGTTTAGGGTCAACTCTAAACAAGACAACCCCACACCCTAAACTCCAACACCCCGAACTCTGAGCCGAATTGGGCAAGTCGCGACTTAAGTCAAACCCGACAAATCCTCAGTCCCAAATCCTGAAACTTGGGGTGCAAGGTTCGCCTAACTCCTATAAAGCTGTGGGCTTTAGGTTTAGTAGAGGTGCCTTAATACTTAGACGAGGGTTTGGGGGGATGTTATACTATAATGATAATACGGAACCCCCAAACTAATATAGGTAATTATTAAGGCCCCTATTATACTAT